AAACTAATAATAAACAATAAATGTTCAGTATTTATTAATCATATATGAACATTTACTAATGTATTATTAAAATCCAAATTCATGCATGTTTATATTAGTTTATGCACTGTAAGTTAAGATGAACTGAAAATAAACAACTTTATTTTCCATTAAGCAACCTTAACAAAGATGAATAAATACTGTAATAAACAGTTATGCTCTGATCAGGATTTTTGCAGCCGATACAGAGTACCAATAACTTGTCATGATGATCAGCTGATGTGGAGTATTGATTCTGATGCTTTAAGCTTTATAATGCTTAAAGCATTTTTTTTCCAAGTATAATACTTACGTCTCCTTACCTAAGAGAATAAACTAAGAATGTTCTATATAACCCCCTTAACATGTCTCTTATTTCATGTGGACATGTCATGGTCAGAAGCAGCTTTACAGAAAATAATAGATAAAACTGATTTTAAAAAAAAATTTAAATTGGTAAGTAAATGATGGTAGAAAAATTCAACATGTCTTAATGAAAAAAGCTTGCAACTTATTTCATCTCATGCATATTTGATGCATAAGAAGTTAAAATGCACACCTATAAATACATATTTACTGAAACAAGTATATTACAAAAAGGTATATTATTAAATATTTAAGTTAAAAAAAAATTGTCACTTTTTTTATTTCATTAAAATGTTCAGTCATGTTTTAATAACTTTGCAATGGTTAAAAACACAAAACTTTCTGTTGTTATACATGCAAAGGCCTAAATATACGTAAAATTCCAATATTTTGCTCTCCAACTAGCACGTCAGGGTCCTCTGCATGTAAACCCATAAACAAACACCTGCGATCAGTTCATGAGATCGGCTAGATTAGCGAGAACCGATCGAGTCATAAAATGTGATTATTGGCCAATTCCGATCTCCAGCCGATCGATCAGAGCATCCCTAGTAGTAAATGTTTTGTTTACTGTTTGTTCATGTTACTTAATACAATCTTATTGTAAAGTGCTACCAAACGTTCAGAAATGTTCATTTGATCAAGGTTGAAAATAACTGTGCTGCTTAATATTCTTATTTTTGTTATTTTCTTTCTCTTATGTCTTGAAATCTGGTATAAGTTTTCCCAGGAAACTTCAAATATTAGAAATATATATATATTAGAGCAATTACGTGCAAATGTCAACCTTGCCATGAAAAAAATTAAGTTTTCACCAAAATATGCAAACCGTTTCTGGGTTTTTTTGTGTAAGCAAGTATTTTACAGTGCTTTAAAAATACTCAAATTCATCTGTTAATGTTTTCAAACTATTTGATTTGATTTACCAAAGTCACACAAGTGGCAATTTTACATCTGTCACATCCATAACGACACACTTTCCTCATAAATGTAAAAATATTAAATTAACTAAAACCAATCATTTTGTGTTTCATAGAGAGCCAACTTATATCCTTTTGATAATCATAGTTTTTTGGGGGTCAAGCAGTTTGATTGACAGAATTTCTACAAAGTATATTGTATGCTGTAAACCCGCAGACTTTTTTGTCACATCCATAAAACATGTTTATTTTCCACGTTTCAAGTTCAAAACGTGTTTACAGATTGATATTTTTGATCCTATAACTTTGTTGTCAGTTGTTCGGTAAAATATAAACAAAAGTTTCAATATAATGTCAACGTATGCTTTCTGTGCCAATTCATGTTTTGACTTTTTACTGCAAATGTCACATCCATAATGCTGGAATTGCTTATATACATGTACAAAAGTATACAACTGCTGTATAAAATTCTAAAATACACATGATTATGGTCATATTTGGAGATGTTATTTAAAAGTTTAATAATCCTGGGACAAAGTTACCAGCACAAAAACACACTGAGAATTTTTGTATTTATTTAATGTTGGTTATTATTACTATAAAACATCCTCTTAGTAAAATTGAGCAAATGTTCAAACGTGTATAACTTTGAAAAAAAAAAACGTAAATAAAACAATTTACAGACAATAAAGCATGATATCTTGCAAAACTCTAGGAAGGATATTAATAACCTTTTCTAATGACTTGGAAAGTAACGTTATATGAAAGCTTACCAAATCTGCTTAGTTAGTGTGTTGAGTTGACGCTATAACTTTAACAAATATGTAAACATAAGTTGTTGGTGGTGAGAAATACACATATAGCTTATGTTACGGTTTATATGAGACAAATATAATGATAATAAGTGCAACAATATAACAATACAAATAAATTCCTGTGTTGATTGCATCAGAATGCCAGTGTTGAGCTGACGATGACAGCTTTCATTCAGTGAATGAGTCGACTATCACAGTGTGAAACACTGATAACAGTTTAACCGTTTAGTTCAGCAGTAACATTGTTTGTCAGCTGGCCATCGAAACACCGTAATGTCATTAAGGAAGGTCAGGGGATATTTTATAGCATTTCTTACCCAAGCACACGAATAACACCGACTTTCCGCTGGAAGCCGCCATATTGGTCACTAAAAAAGGTCCTCGCGCCACCACTGAGGGTTGCCTAAATTTCCGCCTGTTCCAAAATTAATCAACATAAAAACTACGGTATAGATTTAAAATGTAACTTAAGTTTTAATCTAATATTTATGTATGTGGCGGAGTAAATACACATCTATTGTACACATCTATGAACATGATCTATATGCACCCACTTTCACTTTTATGCTCTTCTACGCACGCAATTTATGAATTTCTAAACATATATATTCTTAGGTCCAGTGACAAGGAGAGTCTGTAAAGTCTTGATATCTACAATTTAAAGGAAGCACATGCTTCACCTAGTAGCATATCACATCACACCCAGAGCTCAGAGCTGAGTAAATTACCAGAAAGTGGCACAATAATTATTTATATTTCTTTGATGTTTTTCCAGGCTTGCATAAACCTAATCATCCCTGAACTATTGGTGGTATTACTAAAATAAAACAGCATATCTAGGTGCATGACGAGCTGTTTTAACATTTAAAAAACACAATAGTATAGTTTTTATTTATTATCTAACATACTAGTAGGCTACTCATTTATTAAATGAATTGTATTATGAGACCTTGACTTTTATTGCCATTTTAGAAGTTTAAAATAATATAGTGTAAAAAATAATAGGGAAAAAAGTCTGTAAAATAACTAAAAATGTACTGGTAGCTAATTACAAGGTTTTTGTCCCATAATATTCAACACCATCCCAGACAATATATCACTTTAAACTACTAAAAATGTTAATAAGAGTCAATTTTTCGAACTTTTAATTGTTAAAATTTGTTGAAAGAAACATTAAGGTCCCATAAAGCATAAATAAACAGGGAAAAATAAAAACATGAATAACAAAATACAGAAAACTGCTAATTTACTGATATTTTTGTGATTACTTTGAGCTTAAATGTAATTTCTTTCTTCAATACAAAGAAATGGGGATTTAAGCATTAGCGACTGATTCTCCATTTATTTTTTTATACTTTGCAGATTAACTTGGAGACTATTCATTTGAAATGTAGGTGCAGTAATTTAATTGATCTGTGTAATTTATTTAATTAACCCAATTCATCGTAAACAGATTATTCTTTTGAGTACATCTTAAATGAGTCATTTTTTGTTTTTAACGAAACCAAACTGGATTAATCTGGGGTGTGGGGTGTTCCCTGAAGTATCATCAGCGAACTATGCTTGTGAAATTGTCATGAATTGCATTTGCCATTGTTACCACATGGCAATAGGTTGCTGTTGGAAAAGGTGTAAGTGAGTCTGTGTGGGTCCTAATGCCCCAGTACAGTGATTAGGACTCTATACTGTTCAGTGAGCACCCTCATTTGAAAGACATGTTAAACTGAGGTCCTGACTTTCTGTTGTCATTAAAATCACCAGATGTTATGTGAAAATAGTTGGTGTCCTCACTGGCCTCTGTTCATCATGGACTCTTAACCCGATAGTATCTAACTGTAGACTTGCATATGTAAGCTGAGACATGTAGTCTGAGACATGCAGTCTCAGACACAATGCACTCAATGGAGCTAATTACGTGATGCGATTTTGTAGGTCAAAGTTCACAAAGCTTGAACTTTGCTACGCAGCAAACTGCAAAACTTGTCACACAAGCTTGCGTTTCCAGGCTGCTACATTTGCATGAACATAATGAAAGTCTATAGGGCAAAAAATGCAACATAACCGCTTTCTGGGGGTTGAGGAGATCCCCCCTCCCCCAACATTTTTAAAGCACCCAAAAAAGCGCTATGTAAATGTAATGAATAATTGGAGACTTTTGCTAGTATTTTGGCTACTTTTATGATATGTTTGGTGTGCTTGAGTTTGTTTTGAAGCTTGAAACCCCATTTATGTGTTAAATAGCTTAAGATTTTCAAAGCAAAACCTCAGTAATGTAACAAAATCCATTACAAGTTACTTTTTAAAGCACGTGTTTATTAATCAGTGGAATATACTCCTAGTCCTGCTAGTCAGATCTGCCTTTTGGCAACAAGTCTAAATGGCCACAGTACAATAATAATAAATTGCAATTTTACAAGTAATATTTTAAATATATACTATCTGATAAATTTATACTTATATTTACTGAACATATACTAATTGTTCCTTGAAAAGAGTTGGGGTTTAACCCCGGTGTCCCCACTGGCCTCTGTTTATCATGGCCTCCAAACCCATTAGTATCTAACTTTAGTCTGAGACATGCAATCTCAGGCACAATGCACTGAATGAAGCTAATGCCATAACAGTGAAGGGTAAGGTTAAGGATTAGGTGTGCACATTAAAAGCATTGCATGAAGCTCAGCTTGCATATCTGAAATCGCAAAGCCTCTCTTCTAACCATCCCCATGTCATAATTGGCTCCATCACTCCTCTCCACCTGCTGTGTGGTGTGCGGCTTGATGCAAAATGGCTGCCACCACATCATACAGATGGATGCTGCCGTGGTCCCACGAGTTTAAGCAGGCAAAATTCTGTCATACGACACAGCAGTACGGGACGGGTGCGATTAAACAAGACGTCTAGACAATTTAAAAAGCATGTGATTGGTCCATATTTAAAACTTCTGTCACAGATTGGTCTTACGCAATCACAATATGTGATTTCACAATTCTGCCGAACTTGTTGCGTGAGCTTTCTGGTGATTGAAGACCCCCCCCACCCTACCCCAACACCTCCCCCCACACACAACATCTTACCCAGCACTTAGTGGGCACTTATACCCAGAAAAGCGCTAAGTAAATTGAAGAAATTGTTGAAGACCTTTCCTAGTTGTTTGGCTACGTTTATGATGTTTGATGTGGGTTTGTTTCGAAGCTTGGAACCTCAATAATGTGTGTTACCCAGCTTAAGTATTTCAAAGTAAAACCTGAGGAATGCAAGGAAATCCATTACTAATTACTTTTTAAATCGTGTTTTGTAATCACACTGTGAAAAATAAAAAGTTGAGTTAACTTAAAATTTTAAAGCAACCGGCTGCAAAGACATTTTGAGTTTATTAAGCTTCAGTGGTTGATGTGTGCCAAATATTTTTTTTTAAGTTGACTAAATAAAGGCTGGTTTAAGTCAAGTATACTTTATGGAATCATTTGGCACAACTTCAACCACTGAAGCTGGTTGCTTTAAAATTGTAATTTAACTCAACTTTTTATTTTTACAGTGGTAAACGCTCTAGTGAAGAAATAAAAATTCAAAGTCTCCTCAACTCCTCAACTTTTCCAAACATGCAGTTAAATCATTTTTATGAGTAAATTCAACTCTGAGCTTAAAAATATGTTCACCTAACTTATATTTCATTTGTAAGTTTACAATTTGTAAGTTGGATTTTTTTACAGAACAGTGGATGCATTCCCAGTCCTGCTTGTCTGATCTGCTTTTTTAAGTCTGAATGGCCACGGATCAATAATAAAAATAAACTGTAAAAATTTTTTTACTACTAATAATAAGTACCAGTGTCTAATAAATAAATTCTATTATCTAATAAATAAATATTAGTAACTAAAGAAGAAGGTTCAGGTGAATTGGGTAGGTCAAATTGTCCGTAGTGTGTGAGTGTGTGTGTGTGGATGTTTCCCAGAGATGGGTTGCGGCTGGAAGGGCATCCGCTGCGTAAAAAACTTGCTGGATAAGTTGGCGGTTCATTCCACTGTGGCGACCCCAGATTAATAAAGGGACTAAGCCGACAAGAAAATGAATGAATGAACTAAAGAAGAAGCACTTGTATAGCAATAAAAGTAGCATAAAGATATATATGGTACGGTTTATAGATTAAATATATTATTGGCTTGCCATACTAGGTGGTCACTGGTCAGGTTGTGGAAAAGTCCAGTTTTCCAGACCATATTTAGAACAAGTTTTAGCTTCAACTATTTTTCACTTAGCGGCCTACTTATAAAACTCTCTGTTACGAAACCAGATTAAAACTCAAGTGTATTGATTGTGCACACCAGATGAGGGAAGTTACAGCACACCAAATATATGAGCGCTCACGTCTGACAAAATAAACATTGTCAACTCAGGGAGCCTATGTGGAGTTATGCCAACGAAAACAGAGTTGCGATCAATCATAAAACTATGGTAAATGTACGCCTCATCATCAGCATAGTCAAAAAATTGGGAGTAAACACAGTTACTTTCACTGTAAGAATGCCTGCAGTTGTCAACAAAGCTTTCCCTCTGCGTAAACATCTCCTAAATGTAAAACATACTGTACAGTGAAGCAAAGCCAGGCATGTTTATATAACATACATACTTTACATGTTCATAAAAAAACTCTTGGTAAACTCTTATCCCAAATAGTTTGCCTTAATCCACATACGTTTTTACACAAGGTAAAACTAAACAGCCCAATAGCTGAATAGCAATATTAGGTTATATGTAGATCTATAATAATACAATTAGGGCTGGTCAGTTCTGTTTAGTAACTATTTTGGTTAAAGGTATATCAGTTAATAAAAATAAAAAATAAATAAAAGCTGATTTTAAAAATTGTTGAACATTTTGAGCAATCACATTTTGTTAAATATATGTGAAATACAACAATGTAATGTAATATGTGTATTTATATATCACATTTATTGTGTATGGCCATACACCCAAAGCACTTCACAATCATGAGGGGGGTCTCTCCACACCACCCCCAGTGTACAGCATCCACTTGGATGATGCGACGTCAGCCACAGGACAATGGCGCCAGTGCGCTTACCACACACAGTATGTTACTGTATTTTAAAGTTACATTATGAACATTATGGTGGCGTCACGGTGGCCCAATGGGTAGCACAATCGCCTAACAGCAAGTAGGTCGCTGGTTCGAGCCCCAGCTGGGTCAGTTGGGACTTATGTGGAGTTTTTTTTTTTGCGTGGGTTTCCTCCGGGTGCTCCCGTTTCCCCAAGTCCAAAGACATGCGCTATAGGTTAATTGAAAAAGATAAATTGGCTGTATGTATGTGTATGAAAGAGAGTGTATGGGTGTTTTCCAATTTTGGGATACGCCTGGCTAGGCA